ATGCACTTGATTTAAGAAACTTTATATAAGTTCTGCCCTTTTGCTAGAAGGTTATTGGGAATTCATTGCTTTCATTAGGAATCATTGTGTTTGGCTCAAATGTTGATGGTTTACATGCGAGACAATGCATAAATCAAAGCATCTTCTCAGTATTAATTGCAAGATGTTCAATAAGTTGCATTAATATCAATTATGGCTGGAATTTTTTGATACAATATTCAAAAGTGTGAATGGAAACTCATTGTCTGTAGGGTAAGTATGAAAAAGTATGAAACTGAAAGCGTGTGCTACATTGAAGGGGGCCTTTAGATTGATAGGGTTTTGTTTGTGTGAAAATCTATAGAAGTCTTCACTGCTAAGTTTGTGTTTAGTTTTACTGGAAACAGAAAGTAAATTTGGAATAGCAGTATATTGGTTGTATACAAAAATGAATTGTAGAGACACTTTTCTCTTCTTTCTGGATATCAAATACTGATGGTCAAAAAGAACCCCCATCCCTCCGCCCCACCTTTACTCGGGATGGGAAATTAACAGCAGAACGGAGCAGCCTCTCATTGTGACCCAAGCATTCAAACAAGACAAGAAAGAAAAAAGTTGACTGAAAAATGTTTATCAAGAAGCAAATTCACCCTAGTTTTCTTTTAAATATGATTCAGTGGAAACTTATATCCACCGGAACTCCAATGCAATTGAGAATAGGTTTCAGCAATAAAACAATTGGTTGGTGAGGGGACTATTAACAAATATTGATGTGATTTCAGCTAAATGCATCAATTTAGTTTAAACTCCATTTTGTATAGATTTCAACTGGGTTATTATTCGGAATATGAACCATCTAATGAAATGCTTTTAAGATTAAATATGGCGATTGGAAGCATTAAATGGAAGGAGTCATTTTTCTGTCTTTGCTTTGTTGATGTGCTATTCTAATGGAAATGTAATATTATTGTCTTTGCCTTACAATAGGGCATTATTGACACAGAATAACATTCAAACCTGGTTATATTGTTGAAACCAACTTAGAAATATTTTTTCTAGACATAGAATTATAATCTTGAAATTGAAGCATAGGAACACATAATTCCATTGTATATGGTGTCAATTTGTTTATGGAGTTTAATTTTCTTTAGAAATCTATATTGTTGTTCTTGTGTATACCCATTTACAGGCATATTAGGCTGTAAGCATATACTGCTTGAGCTGGAGCACTTCTAGAACCAAGCTTCTTCTTGGGAATTTTTCAATCTTTGGTTTCTTAAGTTTGCTGTGATGTTAATTATCCAAAAACAAAAAATGGCACTGATTTTGAAATAGGTGAGCCAAATATGACTTGGACCTGAGTACTATCTCTTTAGCAATTAAGTTCAATCTGGTTTGTACTAAGGATTTTGAGTTATTTATATATCAAATCACAGTTTTATGATATATTTTATGATAAATTTTCTTATCAGCTTTTAGCAATAATGCTCAACTGTTAATACCAATTTCTTTTAATATTTATTATGTCAATCATTGCCCAGGGTTTGGAGGCATGTCCTACATAAAGGGGATATAGTCATAGATGCCACATGTGGCAATGGTTATGATACCTTAGCAATGCTCAAAATGGTTGCTGATGAGTCTGGTTCCGGTCGTGTTTATGGAATGGACATTCAGATAGATGCTTTAAAGAATACTTCTTCCTTACTGGATGCTACTGTCACTCAGAAAGAGGTGCTTCTTCTTGTTTTTTCTATGCTGTCTCCTTTATCAAAATCATTTCAAGAACTAGTAAAGTTTTAATTGGTGCAAGGAACATCTATCCAGATTTGACACCAAATTTCAAACTTTAACCTTAGGATTCAGAATCCCTAGTTTAATGGTGTACAAGTTTAATTTCGGTCCTACTTGTTTAAATTAACATGCTGCTTAACTCTCAATAGTATTTGCCACCTCAGTGGCTCTTTGAAATGTCATTACAGGCTATTATTTGAAATGCCACCTCAGCAATTAATGGTCAGTTTGACTTGCTGGATCCTGTAGTTCAAAATGTAGTTACCATTTGGTTATCTTTATTGGTCATCTGGAAAGAGCAGACGTTCATTTACCATTTTGTAAAGCTACCTGTGTTTCATGCAATTCCTAATGAGTTTCTGACTTATGCAGAAAGAACTAGTAAAGCTCTTCCCCATTTGTCATAGTAGGATGGATGAAGTAGTTCCAGAAAATACTGCTGTTAGGTACTCATTGGTACTCAAGTTCTCTGTCTTTCTTTTGTATCATCTAATTAACATAAATGCTGATATTATGGATGTTAAGGCCATTGAGCATTTTGTTGCATTTTCTTTTTTAATACAGATAAACTTTACTTGTATATTTCTTACTCAACTTTCAAAAATGAAGAAAAACAGACAAACAAACAAACAAAGCTTGCTCCTTGAGTATTCTTATTGAATCAGCTTTTGGTAGTGTCTGTATCTCTATCCCTTGTCTTTGGTTTTTAATCCAAGAGGGAAAAATCACATTGTTACCTGTATTTTTTGCCTTTGCAAGTTTGTTCAGCCATTACCCTTATAAGGGGAAGAACTATAGAACTGAGGAATGATAGTATTTTAAAGTTTCTATTTGGCAGAACTAGACACCTGTCCAAATGGGAGCTAAAATAGTTTAGAGAACCTCTACGGCTACACCAGCTCATTTATCCACTTTATAATATTGGACCTACAATTCTCCCCACTTGACTTAATCACTAGAGGAAGTCATCATCAAGGTAGCCTTCAATCCTTTGAATGTACCTATACCTCCGTGGAGATTATCCTGATTGCCTACAGAACATTGTTGTCCTTTACAAATCCTGTTTTAGGCTAAGATGGTAGTGAATCGATTTGTGGAGTCAACCCAGTAATATGTAAAATCACTCATCTAACCATAGGGTTATTTTCTCTATAATTACTATTTGTATCTTTTACCACCAGAAATTTATTTGATCAAAAACAATGATACCCTTTTTGTTGAACTTTCTGTTAGTTTTCCTAAAACTACCATGTAAATCACATGTTCATCTATGCTAAAGTGTCTAGCCAGTAGCCAAGTTTTTCTCCACCCTGGTGGTAGAGACCAACTTAGTTGCAAATTCAATAGCCAAGTAATGGGCATATTAGTCATTTTGTATAAACATGGTCTCATTTGACTATTTGTTTTTATCTTCAAATACCATAAGCAACCAAAGATTGTATATTTATTGAGCACCCTGGCACCTTTATGTCTTGAAAACTTTTGAAAGGAAAGGATGTAAATGACTGAGGAACTGAAACAAAGTAACTTGTTCAGCATCCCTGAAATGGAACTTTCTACAAGTTTTTGGTTCTTGAAATTTTTTCGAAATTCCCGTGTCTTCTTTCATGACCGTTAATTACATTAGAAGTAACAATGTAATTACTATTAGTATCTTTTACCACTAGAAATTATGTTTGTGCTCCTTCAGAACTTAATTTATAAACTTAAATATTGATAAATGTCTATAGTTACCTATTTAAGTGTTTTTGTTTCAGTGCACGTTATGCTATAATCTGGTAAAATAAGAAATTTCCATTTAGTGTTTAGTTGGAGATGTTTGTGGGATCAAATAAGGATGCACCTTGAACTTGAACTTTAAACCTTTCTGTAGTTAACAGGATAGATATTGAACAAATATAATTAATCATCTTATCTTGTATTCCATTCACAGATAAGTCGCTATATCCATGAATTTCCATATATCTTTTCACTGTGCTTTTTAGTAATTTCTTCAGAAGTTTCAAATTTTCATTCAAAATGAGAAAGTTGCCAAATCCATTTTGTTTCAAAAAGTGTTTCATATACAATGGAAAGGAACCCAATGAAATTATGTGTCATATGAGAGCATTTCACTTTGCAATTCTTCTTCTTCTTGTTGATTTCACTTTGCAATCTTTTTTGTTACAGTCCTGCAATTATCTAATTACAATAAAGAATTATGTAAGGATCCACCACTTATAATTGCAGGCTCTATCTAATAGTTTGGTAGGTCCTACACATATTCTGGGTTGTGATCGGCCAATTGTAGTGCAATAATTGTAGGAGATATGCTCTAAATTTTTGACAGCATTTCATAAATCATAACGACATGTATTTAGGGTTACTGGAGGATTGTTTTCCCCAAAATTAGTCTTAGTTATTTTGGTCTTTACATTGTTAATGATTTGAATAAATTACTTTGCAGTATGTGCCAATTCCAGACTTTCTATTTCTGTTAATGTACAGAAATGTGTTTGCAAATTATATTATCATCAGGCCAATTAAAAAAGCGCTTAACATCTTATCAACTGGAAAATTATAAATTATTCACGTGATGTGAGTGGAACTAAGAAAAGAACAGAAGATTGAATTTTACATGGCTATCATTTTGCAGTTATGTTCGTTACTATTAGTAGGGTTGCCAGCTTCATTGAACTTTTCGTGAAGCCACACTATGACTTTTTTTGCATTGGGATAGAATTAATTCCTTGTCTCCTTCTAGACTTGTTGCGTTCAACCTAGGCTACCTTCCTGGAGGTGACAAAGGTATCATTACAACTTCGAAAACAACATTGTTGGCCTTGGAAGCTGCAAAGAAAATGCTAATATCGGGCGGGCTTATAAGCTTGGTGGTTTATGTGGGACATCCAGGTGGAAGGTAAAATTTCTTATATTAGATTGTTGTGATTTTTGCTGCTGTTATTATGCATTAAGCTAGAATTCTGAGGCTCAGTATTTGGTGAACTAATAAGTTTGTCAGGAACAACCCAGGTTTAGTCTAGTGGTTGTTGCTCTTCTTTAGAATGGTTAGGATCTAAAAATCAAATTTCCCCCCTCTCGCCTTTGTGTTTCTTGTGCATACCAAAAATAAAATTTGTTGGTGACTGCAGTTTTTGGTTGAGTCATCCTTCTCTTACCTGTAGGACCAGCATCAGAATTTCTTAATTTCATTTCCTCAGCTTTCCATGTGTGATCGAATGAGTTTAACAAATTACAGTGTTTACCATTCTCATCCATCTACTTTGATTGGAAATACTTGGCATTCTGGCTCATGTTAGACTGTTTTGTCAGTGAAGAATTGGATACTGTTGAGGCCTTTGCCTCTAGATTATCAGTCGATAGCTGGACATGCTGCAAGTTCCAGATGTTGAACCGACCATTAGCTCCAGTACTTGTTTTCATGTTTAAGAGATGAAACTGCGGAGGATTGCCAATATGTAGCAAGTTATGTACTTTATAAACTGTGCTTTAGGATATTATAAATTCCTTGAAAATATATGTTTACTTGTATAAATTCGTTTACGAATATCATCTAGAGAAGCTTGAAACACCTGTGCATTTGTTATCCTGTACTTTGCTCAAAGGCAGCTGCAGTCTTTAAGACTGCAATCTGAGGAATGAAAAATGTTAAGAGAGTTATTTTTCCACATTGGTTAATAAAGTTTTGTTGTATCCTTGCATGTATTCAAGTTGATTGCAAATCATTTGACTGTGACTCTATCAGTCTGAGTTTAGTCTTGGATTCTGTTAATCAATCTGGTTGAACCTTGAATTCAAATGGAAATTTTGTATATGGAATTGAGATTAGTTGAGTTCTTCACTCTACAAATCTTTAATTCAGTATTAAGAATTTGATTTTCTCTTGTTGGCCAGTATTAAGAATGAGTTTGAGTATCTTACTTTTAGGCATGGTTTAACTCAATTTTATTGTACTTGTATTTATTATCATGTGCATTTCCATTTGAACCCTTGGTTTTTTATTTATTTTTAATAATAATTACATACAAATACAAATATTTCTAAAGTGTAAATTATTGAAATTTTATAATATTAATCTGTAAATTATTCAATAATATAAGAACTAAGAAATAAGTATTTTAATTAAAGCCGATTATTGAAATTATATTTCATATTTACAAAGTGTACAAATCTTGTTATTATAATTGATAAAAATACTTTTGTAATGTAAGTCATTCAATGCAATTCCATTTTCTTAGAACTAATATTTACAATAAAAAATATTTAAAATAGTATATTAGAAATATATTGAACAAATATGTTTGTTTTTGTCGATAAAAAAATTTCATTAACATTCGTAGTTTGTTATCACGTTAGTTGAACGAAAATACTTGTTTTCATTATTACTCAATAATAATTATACGCAAATACAAATATTTTTAAAGTATAAAGTTTGAAGTATAAATGCTTCAAAATTTGTAATATTAATCTATATATTATTTGAAAGTATTAGAATTAAGAAAAATATTTTTAACGAAAATAATTCAATACAATTAGAATTTTTATTTACAAAGTTGATATAATCTATTAATATTTATTGTAAAACAATATTTAAAAAGACAGCATAGAATAATATTGAACATTATCCCATATAGTAATATTGCCTATTTTTTAATTTGAATTTCAATCATTGCTTGATATCAATATGTATAATTGTCAATATTATTTTATAATGATAATTGAAAATTACCTATAATGAACAAGTTTAGTCATTCAAAAGGTTTTTCAAAGAATTTACTTTCATATATAGTAAAAATATAAATTCTAGATGAGTGGGGATTACTACTATTATGAGAAAAAAAGGGAGTTATTTCTTGTTATGTATCCTAATCACTAAACTAATTTCATATTAACATAATTAAAGAAAAAAATAACATTTGGATAATATGAGCAGGTATAAATTTTAGCTTTAGCTGAGAAATATGACAGTAGTCTTTATAATTTCTAGAGAGATATATGTTAAAATATAAAGGAAGCGATCGCGATGGGACTCGAACCCACAATCTCCCGCTCCGGAGGCGAGCGCCTTATCCATTAGGCCACGCGATCACTGACCTAAGTTAGGCGTTTAATATTATAAGGCTAATATTTCTGTCTCTTTTGTATATATTCCCTTTAAATTATTAGGATTTCTTTTCAGATATTTTTATTAGAGTTCTTTTTTTAAATAGGCCCCATGCATAAGGTATTTCTAACAATAGACTTCTTTATAATTTTAATTATTTTTAACCAAGAAAATTAAAATTTAGACTAAATTACTTTTAATGAAACCGATTCATTTATTTGGCTCCGCGCCTCAATCCAAAACTTATTAATAGGTCAAGTGTGTTTAGATTTGCACTTCAAATCAATTTATATTCTTTGAGCTTTACTCGTCAGGCTATTCATCTCTAAAGTATTCCTTACTAGAAAGAAAAATGTTAAAGCATTTTAAGCATTTTGAAATAATTTTGATATACGAAGAAAATTTTTGAACGTTTTGAGCATTTTTAAGTATTTTGGAATGATTTTTAATATATGAAGAAAAACTTTTAAACGTTTTGAGCATTCTTTGTCAAGTAGGCATATTCGTTAATTATGTTGTAAAATGAAATATGGTGTATCATTTGAAATGTTGATCTTGTTAAATGAAATTCAATAATTTTGGTGATTTTTGGACCTTGCATAACTAATTTTTAAACATTGCATGACTTATTTTGTACATTGCGTCACTAACTTTGTGCATTGTGTGATTTATTTTTAAGTATTGCGTGACTAATTGGTAGGCATTGCGTTAGTACTTAATAAGGCATTGCGTGACTAGTTAGTAAGGTATTATTTGACTTAAGCATTGGTTAAAAATCAATCACGCAATGCCTAAAAACTAATCACGCAATGCTTGAAAATCAATCATGCAATTCTTAACAATCAGTCATGCATTACTTAAAAACTAGTCTCACAAAGCTTAAAATTCAGTCTAATCAATTTCAACTCCTCAACTTTAGGGTTATATGGTTCTATGAATAAACCAATAAACTCAAGAGCCTAAAACACAAACTTTTTTTCTTTTGCTAAGCCATGAAATTGTGCATTTCATAAAAGATAAGTTACAAAACTCCATAATTCTCCAAAGCAAGACAAAATATATCTCTATCGAGAGGGCTCTGCTCAGTTTTCTTATGTAAAAACAAAATATACTCTCTTTACAAAATATTCCTTGAATAATTTCAACTTAAAATCTCCAACAAACATACTTAATAATCATTCCAATCCGAGACACAACAAAATCGTGAACCACCATAAAACCCATCAAACATGCTTTAGCTATCCCTTCTCCCTGAGGCCTTGAAAACATCACCAAAAAGCATTCAGTTGCTATATTCATCATGCTGCCTGCAATCACCATAGAAGAGCAAAATTACTGTTATCACCCTTAAAAACCCCAAGACCCACCATAAAAAAAAACTAAAAAAAATAAGAAAGAGCTTGATGTTATCTCTGCTATTTTGATAACGAGATAGACAATATTTGATTAGAGAAAGAAATCGAGATTTAATTTTGAACTTTTTATCTGAATAGCGGGATAGAGAAAACTGAAACCATTTTAATTGTTTGAAATTGCTTAAAGGGTATTGTTTTCAAGTCATGCCAAAAATTGGTTAAAAATAGTTAAAATTATAAAAAAGAATACTTTTGAATTGAGCTTATGAGAAAGGTTATTTTTCACAATTTTCTCTTTTTATTACTACGTAAAATGAAGATAATCAGCCATAAGTTTTTCCAATATCTTTGTTTTCAAACATATTTAATACTTATATGGAGATTAGAATGTAAATAACCTCAACGAGATTGCGAGCAAAAAGGAAGATCAAGAATCAAATGGATAAAGCTTGGAGACCAACAAAGTATTCTTTTACCAATCTATTGTCAAAGAAGGTAGAGAAATAACATCTTGAATCTAAAAGTGGATGATGGCTCCTAGATGGATATCTCGTGCTGTCCTACTACCATGTTGGGCTAGTTTTTGTAAAGCTTTCCATGCAACGAAATATACTACTTGCTTTTCCAAAAAAAATAACTATGTTAGATGTTTTTTTCTCAAGGTGAAAGAGTTAGTAAATTACAATGTTCTTACAGGTGAGGAAATAATGCTAGCAACTTTTTGTTGGGGGCCATGAAAAGTTCCTTGGTCTGGATGGCAGGGATTGAGCTAATCATCTTTTCTTGGGGTTAAAAGGAAAGAAGAATAAAGGCTAAAAATTTTTGATGGAGCCATAAAGAAAAAAAATATATAAATATGTTTTAAATTTTTAAAATTTTGTAGATTCACAGCCTCATAATAACACAAGCATCCGCTCATGCTGGATGGGTTCAAAAGGCTTTTCGGTCCCCAAAATTATTAAGGGGATAGTGGTGAAATTAAATCAGATGAACATTGCTGTTATACCACAAGTTAGCAAATTAGAGGAAGTTTCACAGCTCAGGCCCATAAGTTTATGCAACTCTGTCTTCATAATAATTTCCAAAGTTTTTGGTGAGTAGACTGAAGCCTTTGATGGAGAATTTGATTGCTCAATAAACCAGGTAGCATTTGTAGAGAACAGTCAGATTCGAGACAACAACCAGGTTACAAATGAAGCTTTGCATTACTAGACTTGAAAAAAATGGATAAGAAATATGAGGCAGGGTTGAAGGTGAACATGGACAAGGCCTGTGATAGAATCCACTGGGACTTCTGAAAGCTGTTTTGACTAACTTGGGTTTCAATAAAAGTGGATGTATTGGATCATAGAACGAGTCTTCTGTCTCTTACAACCATGTTAATTATAAATGGTAAATCTACTGCTAAGTTCTGTCCTTCTGGCCTAGGCGAGTACATCCACCATCACCATAGCTTTTTCTGTGCAGGATGATTCAGAAAGCCATCGATATCAAATATATCAGTGGCATCAAAACTTCGAAGGGGACTCCAATTCTTTCTCGCGTGCTCTGTCATTGACCCTTTATTCTTCTTATCTGCTAACAAAGTAACTTGTGAAAGAGTCACTTAAAGAAAAACAGATCTTTTTTGGCGGAGAAAATTCCATTAAAAATTTTCAATGGATTTTTAACGGAATTCTAATAGAAATTTATTTTGACCTTTTTTGATGGATTTCTAATAGATTTTCAACGGAATATTTTTGTTGAAAATCCGTCATAGATTTTTTTGACACAAAAGAATTTCCGTTGAAATTTTCCTATGAAAAATTATCTATTGAAAATCCGTTGAAAATTTTAAAACGCCGAAAAATTTAAAGTTCGCTAAACTTTCCAACGGAATTTTCCATTGGAAAAAGCTATTATCAACGGAAATTTTCGAACGGAATATTCGGTTGAAAAATTCTATCAGTAATAATATTTTTAAAATTTTTTATTTAAAATATATTAAGAATTTTATAAAATTTATTAATTCTTTATAAAAATATATTAATAAAAGCAAATATATACATACCAAAGTTTATAATATTAAAAATTTAAATATGTTTTCTTTTAATATTTTTTATATTTTTTAAAATTTTATTGAATCATAAATTAATGAGTAAATATATACATACTATTAATTTTGATGGTTGCAACAACCAAAAGGTAAAAGGTAAGTAGCTAAAGCAAC